GTCCAGCATAAACAGCCACCATCCGAGGAAGGCAGGGAGGGAGGAGATCGGCTGGGGACCCCATACGCAAGACGTTGCCAGCCTACCACCTGCTCTAAGGTGACCAAGCAGGATCACTATGCTGAGGTTCAATCAAGTTTTTAGGGGATAGTATTTCATCTTTTGAGTCACCATTTTAATGGTATGTATCCCTGATTTCCTTTTCAGAATTTGAGAACTCTCTTTATTACTGTATATGAATTCAGCTGATTTTTATACATGGATCTTATACCTTGCTAGTTTGCTGAATCTTGCAATGAGTACCAATATGCTGAGTCTATGTATTTTCTATGTATAAGATCATATAATCTGCAGAGACAATTTTTCTTCTTTGCTAAATTGATGCCTTTCATTTCCCTTTCTTGCCTTATAGCTCTGGCTAAGTCTTCCAATGCAATATTGAATAGGAGTGGGGATAAAGGGTATCCTGTAATCAAAGGGAATGCTTTCAGTTTCTCTCCATTGAGAGTAATGTTGAGTGTTGGCCCTTAATTAAGTTAAGAAATTTCCCTTCTATTCCTATTTTGTTGAGTGTTTTTATCAGAAATGGATGTTGGATTCTGTGAAATGCCTTTTATGCATCCATCAATATGATTATGGAACTTTTCATTTGTTTTATTTATGTGGTGGATTATGTTGATTATGTTTCTAATATCAAACAAATGGCATGATATACTATTTTTTGATACATTGAATTATATTGGCAAGGATTTTGTTGAGAATTTTTGCATTAATGTTCAAGGGATATTGTTATTGTTGTTGTTGTTAAGTGCCATCGAGTTGGTTCCAACTCACAGCAACCCTGTATAGAGTTTCCAAGGAGAGGCTAGGTGAGCTTGAACCACTGACCTTGAGGTTCAAACTGACCTTGTAGTCCATTGCATTAACCCACAGTACCACACCAGGACTCCTTCATGAGAGATATTGGTCTATAATCTTCTTTTTAGTGGTTAATTTTGCCTAATGTTGTTACGGGTTATATTCACTTAGTAAAATGTATTCAGGAGTTTTCTATCCTTTTCTATTTTCTGGCATAGTTTGAGGAGAATTGGTATCAGTTCTTCTCTGTTTGGTAGAATTCCCCAGTCAAACTATCTGGGTCCGGACTTTTTTTTTGTTGAAAGTTTTTAAATGGCCTGATCAATTTCTTCTTTTGTTAGAGGTCTGTTCAAGTTTTCTACTTCCATCTGTGTTAGTTTAGGTAGGTGGTGTTTTCAAAACCATTGCTTAAAGATTTTCAAATGTGTTAGAGTACAATGCTTCATAGTATTCTGTTATTATCTTTTTTGTTTCATTTATTTCTGCTCAAGTCTGTATTCTTTCTTTTCTAATATATTTCCTTTTCTTACCTTATTGTTCTAGCTAGAATTTCCAATGCAATGTTGAATAAGAGTGGTGCTAAAGGACATTTTCGTCTGGCTCCTATTCTTAAGGAGAATACTTTTGCTCTCTATCTGTGAGGTATAATGTTGGCTGTTGGTTTTGTATAAATGCCCTTAATTATGCTGAGGAATTTCCCTTCTATTTCTATTTTGTTGAGAGTTTTTAAAAATCCAGAATAGGCATTGGACTTTATCCCATGTCTTTTCTGCAGCAATTGAGATGACCATGTGATTATTTTCCTTTGTTTTATTTATGTGGTAGATTACATTAGTTGTTTTTCTAAAATTGAAGCATACTTGCAAAGCTGATATGAATCCCACTTGGTTGTGATGTATTATTATTTTTAAACTGTTGTTAAGTACCACTGAGTCATTTCTGACTCACAGCGACCCTGTATAGGGTTTCCAAGAAGCACCTGGTGGGTTTGAACTGCCAACCTTGGGGTTTGCTGTCCAGTGATTATTCTACAGTGTCACACCAAGATATTGGTCTGTTATTTTCTTTTTTAGTGGTATTTTTTTTGTGATGTTGGTATCACTGTTATTTATGTTGGCTTCAAAGAATGAATTAGGGAGAAGTTCTTCCTTTTCTATGTTCTGAAGTATGTGTAGGCTGAGTAGTTTTGGTATGAGCTTTTTTCTGAATATTTGGTAGAATTCTCCAGTGAAGCTGTCTGGGACATGACTTTTCTTTCTTTGGAATTTTATTATAACCTCTTCAATCTCCTCTTTTATCATGGAACTGTTCAGTCTGTGTTAGTTTAGGTAGTTGGTACATTCCTAGAAATTGGTCTGTTTCTCCTAGATTTTCAAATTCGTTTATATATTACTTTGAATATTAAACATTTATTAAGTGTAATTATAAAAATGAGGCATCCTAGTGCAGCATTAACTTTTTCATTCTACATCCAAACATTTCCCTTTCCCAAAATGTTGTGTGACTCTGCAGGGTTTAAACTTAGGGTATATAAACTGTTCTTCTAAATTCTTTAAATAATTGAAAGAGTTATTGAGAAAGTGAGATAGATGGGACCCTGCCACTAAAGCTGCTAAAGACTTTTTGCAAACACTGAAGGGAATGACTTGCACAAGGAAATCACCACTGCTGTAGGGAGCTAAGGGAATCTCACACCCCCACATGGTAAAACATAACGCAAAAGAGTTCAGTCCCACTCTTTCCAGTCTACACTTGCCTTTCTGAGAAATGATGAAAACAAGGATTGTGTGCCCTCTGTTGCTTAGCATTCCATGCTACTACAGGGCATGTGTCTGTGGCTCTTTAACAGCACCCACTGACTAGCACAGGGTTTGGTAGATACCAATTATCACTTGTGAAATTAATGAAAGAAACTCTACCCCTTGAATAAGAGTAGGCAGCCAGTGAAAATGTTGCACCAGAAGGCTACATGTAACCCTAAATCAAAGGTTAGCAATAAAAGTTAACCAAGGGAGTTCCTTGGGCTGGTGTTGGAGAGATTTGTTATTTTGTTTGAAGAATAATTTGTGTTTCAGTAAATGCATCATTGGGAATGTAGGTGAATCACAGGCCCAGGTGGGCCCCAGTAGGTGCTCTTTTGTTTTTTTGGGGGGTTTTTTTAGCATCAAGAGGTTACACAGGAATAAAACACTAATGAGGAAGGCAGGGTATGTGGGAGCAACATATTTTCTTGTCCCTTCTAGGTGTTAGTAACTTATTATGGAAGATTCTGTCACTCTAAATCAATAAGGAATAACTCAGAACTTCTTTTACTTGATATTACAGAGAGTTCGACAGTTTAGGTCTATGTTACATCACTTTAAGGAAAGACACTAGAAAAGATGAGGGAGAGAGATGTGTAGGTGACAAGAGAGAAGATGATGTTCACAAAGAAAGAAGGTGGGAGGAGTGTGTGGAGAAAGGCCAAGGTGAGAAGAGAGAGTTGAAAGGAATTTGTGAATTATTGTTGTTGTTGTGAATGTGAAGTGCTATCAAATCGGTTCTCACCCATAGCGACCCTGTATAGGGTTTCCAAGGAGCAGTTGGTGAGCTTGAACTGCCAACCTTGCAGTTGAAACGGCTTTGCAGTCTGGTGCATTAGCCACAGCGCCACACCAGGACTCCTTGTGAATTATAGAGACTCATATATTCAGAATCACCCCCAGCCCTCACTGAGGTTTCTGGTCTCCCTTCTACATGGAAGGATTCGTCATGCCCAGAATGCAGTATTCCCTTGTTCCTTTTCTCAAGGAACCATGCATGATGGCAACTACCAAGGCAACTTAGTATATCTTAATCTGGTCTATGTAGTCCACTCCACTTAGCATTTTACCTTTGAGAAAGCAGTACTAGTCTTCAGGGAAAGGGAAGCAAGGGTATTGCTGACTTAGAGGAGAAAACACATAGAATACAATGAAAATGTCTAGGAATCCTCCAAGAGTAAGGGAAGGGTAGGCCCAGACTCCAGGAGCTCTTCCTCACAGATAAAGTGTCTTTGGCTTAGGAATTTCCCAATGGGAGCATGACTCAAGAAGTCGCTGTGCAAAACCCTGCCCCCTAAGGGAAGTGCAGCAAAGATTTGACTTTTGCCTGCTCACCCACATTAATAATCCCATGAAGGGTCAAGCCAGAATGCAACTCCCCTAGTTGCTTTGATCCCCAATACCCCTACAAGACCATGATAATTTACCAGAGCCCCACTGCTCAGCAGAATCACAAAGATAATAAAGTTCTCAAACCAGCTGTGTTTCACTATTTGGTAGCAGGTTTTCCGCAGGTTCCACCACAAGATCCCAGGGGACTTTCTCTTGTCCATGACACAGCATGAAAAACAGCAACACAGGCCTGGAAGGAATCCGAGGCAGCAGGGTGATCATTAGTGTCTGTGATAAACCACATAAATAGCCTCAATTTTCACCCACCTGCTCCCATTATGCATGCCCCTTGTATGTGACTTTGCAGTCTCTCCCACTAAACAAATGGATTCTCTTTTTTGAACTCTTGAATCTGGGCTCTGCAATGAAACTTGCTTTCGTCAACAGCATGGAGTAGAAGTTAATGTGGTGCCAGTCTGAACCTAGGGTTCAAGAGCCCTTGTATGTTTCCACTTGCTCTCTTATACTATTTCCATTGAGGAGAACTTTGATAGACCCACATCTTCCAAGGAGGAATTTGATAGAGATTGGGAGCGGAGCCAAAATGCCCAGTCAAGCCCAGGCGAGATCAACCAATCCCCAGTTGACATCATATATATAAATGAAGTCTTTCAAGATCAACAGGCATATTTCACACTAGGCTAGCTGAATAATGAAGATATATGAGCAATAAATATTTATCAATATGTGCCACTGAAGTTTGTCATTGGCTATTTTGTCACCCCCCCCCCAATGGTAAACCGTGTTCAAAGAACTGCAGGGACTGAGCTAATGTGGTAGAGTTGCTGTCAAGTTGATTCTGACTCATTGTGACCCCATGTGAGGACCACCCAAGCCATATATTAAAGAATTTGATCTGTTGTCAAGATGTTTACATACAAAATTCTTCAGCATTCATCACATTGCTCTTTGCACCTTGCCTCCTGCTCTCCTTCCCCAAATTCTGTTGATCCTTACTTCATGTAGATCACAAACTTCCACTCCATTCCTCTTCATCTTCCTTCCTACATTATGGTGACGTCTCCTCCTTATGCCCATTTCTTCCTCCATTTTTAAAAACATCAATAAGCTTTTCTTCCTAAAGCACAGTTTTTCTGTCTTTTCCCTAATTTCTCCCATCTCCTAGAAATCTTACCTTTCTTCACTATTAACATCCTATGCACACCTTGAGGACAAGTTGGCAAATCAGGAAAAGTGTTGTTATTGTTAAGTGCTGTTTCCCTGTATAAGGTTGTCAGTGAGCAACTGGTGGTTTTGAACCTCCAACCCTGTGGCTAGCAATCCAGTGCTTATCCTGTAGCACCACACCAGGACTCTAGTCTATTGGAAATCCCTAGTTTGTTCTCTATCCCCTGTGGGCAACTATGAGGCTATCAAACAACCAGAAATATGAATTTGCATATATTCTTGGTATTCTGTTTGGATCCTGCCTTAGGAAGAAATTTAAAATCTCAGATTCACTCACTCATTTTTAAGGCATGCGTTCATTCATTCATTCATTCATTTATTTGTCAACATTTGTTGAACACATAATCTGGGCCAGGTCCTATTCTCACTAAATATTTTGTTGTTAATTACTGTCAAGTTCCTTCTGACTCACCGTGTCCCCATGTGTGCAGAGAAGAACTGCTCCAAAGAACTGTCAAGGCTGTGACCTTCCAGAATCAGATTGTCAGCCTTGATTTTTGAGGCATCTCTGGGTGGTTTCAAGTCATCAACCTTTTGGCTACTACCTGAGTGCTTAACTGTTTGTGCCATCAAGGAACTCACACTAGATATACCATCCTAAATAAATTACCAACTTGTTTTTAACAACATTGTGGAAAGACACACACAATGAAATTCCCCACAATAAATACTGGAAATAATGAATGCAGTTTGGAAGGGACCATTATTATATCTATTCAAAGCGTCAGGAAAGGCTGCATCTATTGATTGCATATTTTGTTCCAGACACTCTTCAAAATGGTTTATATTCTTACTTAATATTCACAATAATGCATTGTAACAGATGCTGTTATTCTCAAAATTTTATAAATAAGGCACAGAGAGGTTAAATAAATTGAAAAGTCACACAGCTAGTAAGTGTTGAGGTCAGAATTATAGTTTAGATATTAGCTCCAGAGCTGACATTCTTAGCTACAATGTTCTCCTGCATCCCAGAGAAGAATCTTAAGGAATGAGTTGAGGTTTCCATCAACCCTGGGCTATGGTCAAGTTCTTCTTTTGGTATATGACCTCAACTACATGCTAAGGAGGATATACTGGACAGTATACAAAATGGCAAAGTGGTAGACATGTTGGTTCAGTGAGATGTCTAGAAAAGCTTTCTAGAGCATCTATCTTGTTTACTGGGCTATGTAGACTGAACCCACCTGAAGAAAAATTTTCCTGATATTACCTTTTCTTGGAATTGTCATCAGTCCCAAGAACCTGTGGGTTCCTTTATTCTAGTAGAAAGATATCTCCCAAAACTACAGAGCCTCATCGGAGAACAGAAAAATCCTGCCACTTACCTTTGGGTAAACATCTCTCTGGTTGCTTTTTGGGAACGATTGCAGATACCCGTCTAAAGGCATACACAGGATCAATGGTACTACATTCCGACAGCACACTGATTGCATCAGATTTCTGTGCATCAGAACAGAAGAAAGAGGCAGAGTCATTTACCAAGACCTTCTCTCACCTTGGTAGTACCTAATTCATTATCAGACTTGTTAGAGATGCGATAACTGGGGGAAGGCTTCTATGAGGGGAGTGAGGAAAGAGAAGCTACTATCAGGTACTTTTCTGAGTGCTCTTGTCAGTTTTAACTTCAAGGAAGAATCTCTGACTGTTCTTCCTTTACTGAAGAAAGGCACAGGACCACACAAGCCTTCACCTCTTCTTCCCTACAAATCATACTCTTGAGAGGCTGTCTAGCCCCAGTAGGGAAACCAGGTCATGAGGAGATGCTACTTCACTGAGTCTATGATTTTCAGCTATTCAAACTCCTGGCATTATCTGTCTAGACCAGTGGTTCTCATCCAGGGACAATTTTGCCCCTCCTCACCAAATACATTTTGGCACTGTCTGAAGACATTTATGATTGTTACAAGAGGGGGAGTTCAATTGGCATTAAGTAGATAAGACCATGAATGCTGTGCAACATCCCACAACACACATGACAGCCCACTGTAATAAAGTTTTGAGGTGACTTGCCCAAAATGTCAGTGTTGAGGTTGAAAACCCTGGCCTACACCTTTGCATAAGACACAACTGAAGCAGTTTCCTTTACAATAAATACTGAACTTTTCTTTTAATATCTATTATGTTATTGATCCTGCAGAAGGCCTGTGGATAAGCCATGTATTCCTTCAGACAACACTCTGGTAAAATTACCTTTCGGGGATGATAATCATCATCTTCAGCGAACACTTCAGTTTCCACACTTTGAACATCTTGGTTGGTAGACTTTGTGGTATGCTGATGGAATTCATAGGCCTGACACAAAGACATCCAAAATTGAATTAGTATTCCTCTTAGGCATTTTACTTGTGATAATAAAGTCTGCATTCTATTTGGATTTTTGTTTGTCATGAGAACAGTCTGTGACATTATAATCCTTTTATCTTTTTGTTTTATCACAACTGCTCTTGGAAAAAGATACTATGAAATCATTCTGAAAAGACTATTATAGAAAATATTTATAGATTGAAACTTACTGAAAAGGCATATGATCAAAACAGCAAGGTTGTGTTACAAAATGTGACATTCAGAGGAAGATAAAAGAAACACAAAACATACAGGTATCTAATGTATTTTTTAATTTGTTCTTTAAATTCAATGGCTAAATAATAAATTGTTCAATAAATTGATGCTGTTTTTAGGTGCTGTCAAGTTGGTTCTGACCCATAGTAATCTTATGCACAACAGAAGAAAACACTGCTCAATTTTTTGCCAAGATCAGAATCACTATTACACTTGAGACTATTGCTGCTGCTGTGGTGCCAATCCATCTCGTTGAGGGTCTTCCTCTTTTTCACTGACCCTCCACTTTACCAAACTTGATATCCTTCTCCAGGGACTGGTGTGTCATAATAATATACCCAAAGTATGAGAGATGAAGTATGGTCATCATGGCTTCTAAGGAACATTCTGGTTGTACTTCTTCCAACACAGATTTGTTTGTTCTTCTGGAAGTCTATAGTACTTTTCATATTCTTCTCCAATACCATAATTTAAAATGCATCAATTCTTCTATGGTCTTACTTATTCACTGTCTAACTTTCATATGCATTTGAGGCTATTGAAAATAAAATTAGTTATCCCCAAAATAACAGAGTCACAATATAGTGAAATCAAAATCCATTATCATTAGATTCTTTGACATCATAAAAAAATAAATCAATGTTAAAATTTTTTTTTGGAAAACAATTTATTATCCTTTGAGGTACAGAAGGGTTTCCTTAGCAAAATTAGAGATATAAAGGTATAAAGGAAAATATGAAAACAAACTACTACATCAAAGTCATCAAATAAATTTGATCTGATAACCTGCAAGGATATTCATGGAGAATGTGCCAAGTCTCATCTGTAAAAGAGAATTTTAAAAATCTTTAATCAAAAGTAAAATGCCTGAATTAAACACAGGTTTATTCTGCTTTCAACAAAAACTGCTTTAATCAGATTTTCACAGATGTTTGCTCTTGAACTTCTTATCTGGTTTGTTTTTATTAGGTGCCATCGAGTCGGTACCAACTCATAGAAACCCTATGCACAATAGAACAAAACATTGCCTAGTCCTGGGTCAACCTTACAATTGTTGCCACGCTTGAGCCCACTCATGTTGCCACTTTGCCAATCCATCATGCTGGGGGTCTTCCTCTTTTTCTCTGACCCTCCACCTTACCAAACATGATATCCTTCTCCAGCGACTAGTTCCTCCTGACAATATGTCCAAAGTATGAGAGACGAAGTTTGGCTATCCTGGCCTCCAAGGAGCAATCTGGCTGCACTTCTTCCAACACAGATCTATTGGTTATTTTGGCAGCCCATGGTACTTTCAATATCTCCTCCAACAACATAACTCAAAGGCATCAATTTTTCTATGGTCTTCCTTATTCACTGTCCAGCTTTCACATGCATATGAGGTTATTGAAAATAACATGGCTTGGGTCAGGAGTACCTTAGTCCTCAAGTGACATCTTTCCTCTTCAACACTTTAAAAAGGTCTTGTACAGCAAATTTGCATAATGCAATATGTCATTTGAGCTCTTGACTGTTGCTTCCGTGAGTGTTGATAGTTGATCCAAGAAGAATGAAGATGTTGACAGCTTCAATCTTTTCTCCATTGATAAGAATGTTGTTTATTGATCCAGTGGTAAGGATTTTTGTTTTCTTTACAGTGAGATGAAATCCATACCAAAGGTTGTGGTCTTTGTTCTTCATCAGTTAAGTATTTTAAATCCTCTTTACTTTCAGAAAGCAAGGTTGTATCATCTTCATATTGCAGATTTTTAATGAATCTTCCTCCAATCCTGATACCATGTTTTTCTTCATATAACCCAGCTTCTCGGATTATTTGCTCAGCATACAGATTGAATGATTATGGTGAAAAAATAGAACCTCATTGCAAAGTTTTCCGGTTTTTTAAACCATTCGTTGTTCCCTTGTTCCGTTCAATTGACTGTCTCTTGGCTTATGTACAGATTCCTTATGAGCACAATTAAGTGTTCTGGAATACTCATGCTTCACAATGTTGTCCATAGCTTGTCATGATCCACATAATCTAAAACCTTTGCATAGTCAATAAAGCACAGATAAACATCTTTCTGATATTCTCTGCTTTCAGCTAAGATCCATCGGACATCAGCAATGAAATCCTTCATTCCACGTCCTTTTCTGAATCTGGCTTGAACCTCTGGAAGTTCTCTGTCAGTGTATGCTTGCAGCCATTTCTGTATTAACTTTAGTAAAACTTTACTCGCATGGGATATCAAAGAGATTGTCCGATGATTTCCGCATTCTGTAGGGTCACCTCTCTTTGGAATGGGCACAAATACGGATCTCTTCCAACCAGTCGGCCAGATAGTTGTCTTCCAAATTTGTTGGCATAGATGAGTGAGTGCCTCCTATGCCGCCTCACTTTCTTGAAAGATTTCAATTTTTATTCCATCAATTCCTGGTGCCTTGTTCTTCACCAACTCCTTCAATGTACCTTGGACATCCTCCTTCATTGACTTCATTGAATATTGATCATATGCTACCTCTTGAAACAGTTGAACATCAACCATTTCCATTTGGTACAGTGATTCTGCGTATGTCTTCCATCTTCTTTTGATGCTTTCTGCATCATTCAACAATTTGGCCAGATAATTCTTCAGTAATGAAAGTCAAGGCTTGAATTTTTCTCAGTTCCTCCAGCTTGGGAAATGCTGACCATGTTCTTCCTTTTGGTTTTCTGACTCCAGCTCTTTTCACATTTTGTTGTAATAGTTGACTTTATCTTCTTGAGCTGACCTTTGAAATTTTCTGTTCAGCTCTTATACCTCCTCATTTCTTCCATTTGCTTTACCATCTCTACGCTGAAGAGCAAGTTTCAATGTCTCTTCTGACATCCATTTTGACCTTTTCCTTCTTTCTTTTCTTCTTAATGACTTTTTGCTTTTTTCCTGTATGATGTTTCTGATGTCATCCCACAACTCTTCTGGTCTTCGGTCTTTAGTGTTTGATGTATCAATTCTGCTCTTCAGATGATCTCTAAATTCGGGTGGGATATATTCAAGGTCATATTTTGGCTCTCGTGGACTTGTTTTCATTT